AGAGAGAGAGAGAGAGAGAGAGAGAGAGAGAGAGAGAGAGAGAGAGAGAGAAGAAAGAGAAAGGCGGGCCGTTTTTGGAGGGACAACACTTGAGAGAGAGAGAGAGAGAGAGAAGAAAGAGAAAGGCGGGCCGTTTTTGGAGGGACAACACTTCGCTTCTAGGGGTCAGCATTCCTTAGACCGGCACTTTCTTCACTGTGCCAGATGGATATTGCACTGGAGAATGACTTTTACGATTGGGGAGGTACTTGTGAGTTGTGACTGACGTACCGGCTTCATCATCAGTGGAGGGAGAGGTTGATGACTGAGAGGTGGCGTGAAGGGGGAGAAGAAGCATGAAGGTATATACTATATAATTATTAGATGATATCCTCCTCGTCTTATTCCTCTCCTCCTTTGTCTAGATTGTCGTCTACTTGCTGTTTCTTGGTGAATGTCAATCATTGAGCATTGTGGAATACACACATGGTGTTAACATCATGAGTGAAGGGGTTTCACACATTTCTGCATCTAAGGCCCAGGTCCAGTCCCAGAATTTCCATGGTTCCACATCTCATCTTGTCCCATGTATCATAGTCCAACCGGTAGGCCCAATCATACAGATTTAGTTGTGGGGTCTGTAGGGTCCATCCATACAAGTTTCTGGTACGCCGTGTGAAGTCCGGCCCTGGACAAAAGTCCAGGTCCTAAATATAGCAGCTCAATCCAAGAGAAGTCCGGTACTCACCGGAAGCATAAGACAGCCATGGTGAGAGAGGCCAGGGACGGGTGTCGGTACAAAATGTCCGAGATTGGGAACCGAGCGAAGTACAAAAACACTGCTACAATGCAGTGTCAATACGATTTCCACTCATGTGTATCGCGGAAGCGCTGCTGCATGCTTGTGCGGCCAAATGCCACGTGTGACTTGGAAGTGGGGACGCCAAGTAGAGACAGCGTTGGGTGCAATATCTAGGACTGGAGTGAGGGTGAGGTTCACTACAGGACCAGAAATGAGCAAAAATTGAGAGGAAAATAAATGAGGGAAAAAAAAACAAAACAAAAACAAACAAATCAGCAAAAAAATCCGAAAAACGTGCGAAAAATGAGGGGCGACGGGGGAAGCAAAAATGCCGCAAGAGATGAGGGAAGAAGAGCAAAAATGAACACATTGATGTAGTAGCAAGGGGGATGTGGTAAAATCAACAGCAATAAAAGAAACTCTAAGAAAGCACTTGATAATTTGATTTGATTGATAGATTCTTGTCAACTCTTTTGTATGGCTTGTTGTGTGTGTGACAGGTTTCCGCAATTCCACAGGACCCAGTGTTATTTGGAGGCAGTGTTCGGTTCAATCTCGACCCTTTCAGGTAGGAAGAAGCTCAATTGTGTGGATAATCCTATAAGCCAGTCTTCCCCCGAATACAACGCACGGTCATTATAGCTGAATTTAGACTGAAACATAGACCAAATTCAGCTATAATGACCGTGCGTTGTATTCGGGGGAAGACTGTAGTATAAGGTGAGATTCACACCTCATCCATCCAAGTAGGTGCAATCATTTCGACGGGTAAGGTGAAAGCTTTCATGCAGGGATGGTCAATTCCATGGGTTAAAAGTTAAAACTTAAAACTTAAAAGTGCTTTCACACAGGTATGGTCAGTTCTATGGGTAAAAAGTTACTAAAAACTAGTAAAAAGAGCTTCACACCTTATCCATTTAGGTCGATATAATAAAATTATAATATATATATATTTCCTTGTTAAGGTTTTTTTTTTTTTTTTTTTTTTTTTTTTTTTTTTTTTTTTTTNTTTTTTTTTTTTTTTTTTTTTTTTTTTTTTTTTTTTTTTTTTACAGTGTTTATTTGCCATCAGCACTGTTCTCCTATATCACACTTTGTTTTTGAGTGTTATCATTGTTATGCATTGCTGTTTGTAAAAAATGACCCGCAAATTGCAGACTGTGAATCCTGTGCTTTTCTGCGATTCCGCGCTTGTTCCGAATGACCGCTGGGTTTCCTGCTGTCGGAGTCCGTTCACGACATGGGGCCTCGCTCCACTACTCGCGACACGACATTTGCAAAACGAGCGTGAATCTTCCGCTAGAACATGGAAAGATACACCACCATGATTTTTGTCGTTTGTGCATGTCGAGACGAGTGGAGCGAGAGGCCCATGGTGGTTGATTATATGTGTGTTCTGTGTGTTCTGTGTATGCTGTGTGCTTGTCTGAGTACTAAGTGCATGTGTTACCGCGGGTATGACGGCCTGTATGTTGGTTTGGCCCTCCCGGGGCTGGGGCTGGCACTAACCCCGGTTGCCATGTTGGTGGCTTGTGCAGTGGGTGCTAGGCCGCTAGGCTGCAAGTAGGCTAGGGGTAGGTAGGCCCAAAGCAGCCAAGAGTAGGAAGTACCAGGTAGGTAGGCAGAAATGACAAAATAGGACCTACCATGTTGGTTTGGTCCTCCTGGGCCTGGCACTGACCCCTGTTGCCATGTTGGTGGCTTGTGAAGCAGGTGCTAGGCCGCTAGACTGCAAGTAGGCTAGGGGTAGGTAGGCCAAAGCAGCCAAGAGTAGGCAGTACCAGGTAGGTGGGCAGAAATGACAAAATAGGACCTTGGTAGGCCGAGATATTTCCTGAGCTCTGGTAGGCCTAGGAGAGAAATAAGGAAGGTACCGGCCGAATGCAGTCCGGGAGAGAGTCTAGGTTCTGTAGGTAGGGTAGAAGTCTGCAAGACGTTCCCGCCAAAAGGAGCAGGAACCTGTAGGGCCTACAGGGCAGGTAGGCCGCCAAAGGATACCAAGAGGAGCCGTGAGTTGCTCCTCCTCTTTTCCTTAGTTGGCGATACACAGGCTGATCGACTGGGAGTTACGCTGGAACAGCGCCAAGCAGCAGTTAGGATGAGAGGAGACGAAGAGGGAGGAAGGAGGAGGAAGAGGACGGTGAAGGAGACATACCTTGGCTATGGTAGACCTGCATGTTCATCATCTTGGTTGGCACTGCACCCGGAAGGCCCCAAGGGTGTTGAAGTGGACTTGTACTTCATTTTGACTTGTAGCAGAGAGGGAAAGGGTGTGAGAGCATTTGCGTTGTCATTTGAACATCGGAGGAAAAAAAATATTAAAAAAAATGAAAATATGAAAACGATAAATTAAATAAAATAAAAAACGCACGTCGTGGGCCCAGCGGGGAAAGAGTCTTGTGGGGCAGCATCACGTGAGACCCGGCTTTCCCTTTAATAAACTTAGGGATTAGGGAAGGGATTAGGGATATACATACACACACACATATACATATACATATACATGTACATACATAGAGGCAATCCTCAAGCACACCGTGCTCTTCAATCACTACGAGTCGAGAGGTAACAGGTAAAGCAAGCACAGCACAAGTTTGAAACCGAACATGAATTCGAAGGACGAACAAAGGATTGAGACTTTGAAAGGAATGTAGCATGTAGTGTAATAGTTCTCGATTTCGGACATACTTGAAATTTAAAAAGGCCCACAACGTTATCGCACAAAGGACACCATCGTCATGTGCGGATGGCACCGTGCTCCTAAGCCGCTACTGTCAAGGATGACTTGCAACAACTATGGCTCATGTGATTCTTAAGTCCTGTGACTGTGACTTAAGAATCACATGAGCCAACGCCCCACTTCTCTCGTACTTAGCGCTGCTCACAGGCTAGCGCAGCTCACACACATCTGGCGCACAAATGCCACGGCACTTCCACACTCTCATGCGGAATGAGCCTCTGCCCAATGAGGAGGCTGGCCAGTCCTTTATAGCGCTGGGCTGGACTGGCGAGGTCTGAACTCGACCTGCAAGTGTTTGGGACTTCTGCCCAGTACCTGTTGTTGCAACAAAGTGTGTGTCCCAGTATCTTTTCCCATGGTCTGCTGCTGCTTTGGGCCTTCGGGCCTGTCTTTTGGACTCCTGGTCTGAATCACGATTGACCCGTGAAGCTATGACTGGACTGGGACTGTGGCCTTTTGACTTATTGCCGAACAGACATGACTTATCGCCGAACAGTCATGACCCTATCTCAGTCTTGAAGTCTGTGTCCGGTACCTGTTCGTCTAGGACCTGACTGTGACTATTCAAAACGACTTTTCATCTCGCACTGGATGCGACATTTGCCTCAGGGAACTTGTCTGTTGGAATGCTGCTCGTGAAATTGATTTCTGGCCGAGAGGGCCCTTTTATGTTAGGGTCACATTTACGGGCCTCAATCGTAAAGGACCCTTTTAAAGAGATCAATCTTACAGCAAAAGTGAAGAAGAGGACTAAGTTCGACTAACCACTTACGCACACAACAAGGTAACCCTGCAGAATATACGTTCACACACACCACCATCAAGAGCCAGGGAGTCACTTTGACAAAAGTCTACTATGCCCCACCAGGGAACAAAGAGAACTATTGGCACATCTCAAAGTTGTTGGGAGTCGCACAATAACTGGGCTGCTGTTTTTGGGATGCTGGTGTGTCTATGCTGGCCCACAAGTGGACACAGAGACACACAGGTGTCCCGAACACGGGAGCCCAGATGTAGTGCTACATACACTTTTTTTTTTTTTTTTTTTTTTTTTTTTTTTTTTTTGGGGCGGAGAAAAAAAA